ACTCACTGCGCGGCTAATCCCATGTGGCACTTCTAGTTCCCGTTCTCTGGAGGAGATTTAAAACCCAGAAGGATGCCGAGTTCCGGGAAGGGCTAAGCTCCTGACAAGTCTGCATGGCTCGTGGCCAGTTTCCCTCCCCTGGCCGGCCGAGGGTCCCGCCCAGCTCTGCCAGAGGCCATGGCGGGGGCGGCAGGGGTTCCAGTGCATCCCTCACCTGTGGGGTCAGGGCCCCCAGGAGCTGGGATAGCGTCCCCTGCCCAGAGCACGTGTCTCTCTCCCCCGTAGTTTATAGAAGCCTCTTAGTCTGCTCAGATTGCGTCACAAGGCACCAGAGACCGGGCGGCTTAAACAGCAAGTTCATTCTCATGTTCTGGACGCTGGACGTCCAGGATCAAAGTTCGGCAGAGTCATTTCCTTCTGAGGCCACTCTGCTTGGCTTGTAGACGGCCTGTGCCCTCTCCCTGTGTCTTCACATGGTCTTCCCCATGTGCGGTCTGTGTCCCAATCACTAGGACCCCAGTCATACCGGGTTAACTTAATCACCTCTTGAAAGACCCTGTCCCCAAATACAGTCATGTTCCAGAGGTTAGGGCTTCAACAGATGGAGCTGGGGACCAATCCCTTGGTCTCTGTCGCATGTGCGGTCATTAAGCCATACCTTACTTGTTCTGACTTTATTTTTTTGAAGGGGAAAAACTGTTAGGTGGTGCCTGTCAGAATTGGAAATATGCATTTCTATAAAGCAGGAATTATGCCACATGTGTTTGCGGGGCAGCTGTTAGACACAGTTCAGCCCGTAACAGCCTCCGACGGGGGAGGACACTGACTTGTGTTTTTAGGCAAACACCGGTCAGTGGGGCTCTGGCACCTCCGGGAGATGCTCTTGGTGGCCCCTGCAAGTGGCGGCCTCTGCTTGGAGCGTGGTGCTCTGGGCTTCCTCCTTCCGGGCTGACCCAGCCCAGCCTCCCCGCAGCCTCAGAGCCACAGGTTTGGCGAAGAGGGGCCTGAGCAAGAGCGAGACCCCTCTCTATTAAAAATAGAAAAATTAGCGCCAGTAGTCCCAGCTTCTCGGGAGGCTGAGGCAGGAGGATCGCTTGAGCCCAGGAGTCTGAGGTTGCTGTGAGCTAGGCTGACGCCATGGCACTCACTCTAGCCTGGGCAACAGAGTGAGACTCTGTCTCAAAAAAAAAAAAAAAAAAAAACAACACTTAAAAATAAGAAGGTGATGGAGAAAATGTTATCAGTACAGATTAAACTTAAAAGCATTACTTATCTCTGAGCTTAAGCAGAAGATAGCAGCTATGTCGTGGCAGGCAGAAAGCCCAGCATTTAGTGGGGAGGAGATGAGAAGAGGCAGCATCATAGAGCAGGGGAAAAAAATGCTCTCCTAGCATGGGCACATTCTGACCTGATTCAGCAACAAAGTTGCTCGAGTCACCAACCAGTGGCATTCTGACATAAGTCTTGCTTTCTGTGTCTTCCTCTTTTCACTTTCATCTTACTTGTTCAGGGAAACGAAAGCATCAGTCAGCTTCACGTCCCAGAACTGCTCTCATTTGCCAATTGCATCCCTAGGTTGGCAAAATCCAGGGTGTGGCCGAAATTAACAGAAACATTCAGTGAGAACCAATTGGCTGTATGGAGTTGGCAATAAGGAGTATTGTGTACTTTATTATTATTTGTAAATTGTGTGCTTCCCATGTATCAGTGAAATTTGTGATACATTTATATGTGCCTGTATACATGCATACATACACACATGCAAATATCTGCATTTTTCAGGAGAGCAGTTGTGAAGTTACCAGCACGCCGCCGTCCGTGACCATAGTTAACGAGTCCGGTCCAGCCTGCTTTGCGGGATTTTTAGACCATTCCTCCTGCTCCATTCCCACCGGCTCCCTGGTGTTAAATATTTATTGCCTCTTCCCACCTCCCACTTAAATACCTCCCCAGCAGCTTCTGGTCCCAACGTGGCTGCTACTCCCTGTGCTCAAGTTCAAACAGCTACTGCGTCCGTCAAGCCCAGGTTCAAACCCCTTTGTAAACCCTCTGCCTGCTGGACCTCCTCTCTGGCCATTTCCCGGCACAAACTCAGCTCCCGGAATTCCCCAGTAAGACAGAAGGGATCTAGCACTTTGCAGCTTTAGTACCACAAGCCTGAAGTTAGGGAGAGCGGGCCTGTCGCCCTGCGGTCTCCTGGCTTCCTGTGAGGCCCTCCAGGAAGTGGGGGACCCCAAGGGAGGACTGCGCTGGTCTGAGCCGGCCCCTTTCCCCCTGTGGCGCCCTGCCGGGCCATCCCGGAGGGGACTCCTCTACTTGGGTGAGACCCAGCTCCAGTCCAGCCTCCTCTGGGCTGACTGTTCTCGCACCCGGTGACTTAACCTGTCCAGGATTCCTGTAAAGGATGAGGTGCAGAGGAACAGCACATTGTAACCTTAAGATGGGTGTTTAGCACTCCGAAATCCTGTCACCTCCTGTTCAATAATGTCCCTGCAGTGAGTATTTTTTTTGAGACAGAGTCTCACTCTGTTTCCCTGGCTAGAGTGCCATGGCGTCAGCTTAGCTCACAGCAACCTCAAACTCCTGGGCTAAAGCGATCCTCCTGCCTCAGCCTCCCGAAGTAGCTGGGACTACAGGCATGCGCCACCATGCCCGGCTAATTTTTTCTATGTATTTTTAGTTGTCCAGCTAATTTCTTTCTAGTTTTAGTAGAGACTAGAGACAGGGCATTATTCTTGCTCAGGCTGGTCTCGAACTCCTGAGCTCCAACGATCCTCCTGCCTCAGCCTCCCAGAGTGCTAGGATTACAGGTATGAGCCACCGCACCTGGCCCCCGGCAGTGAGTATTTAAGGAATGACCTTGGGAATGCTGTCTCAGTCACTTGGCTCCAACTTCATCCATTCATCCATTCAGCAAGCCCTTCCCTTGCCCCTCCCTATGCCAGGCTCTGTTCCCGGTGCTGGAGATTAGAACACTGAGCCGACTCAGCCTGGGCCTCACCGGAGCTCAGAGCTGGACTTAATTTTAGCTGGCTGAAATCCTGGGATGTCAGGAGTTTTAAAACGACAGCCCTTTCTTACAGCAAAATGGTTTGACATTAATACGTATTAACTTACCAGATAAATAGCTTTGCATAGAACAAGTGTTTAAAATGGACAGACTCCAGGCCCGGCGCGGTGGCTCATGCCCGTAATCCTAGCAGTCCAGGCAGAGGCGGGAGGATCGCTTGAGGCCAGGAGTTGGAGATCAGCCTAAGCAAGAGCGAGACCTCATCTCTACAAAAAATGGAAAAATTAGCCTCGTGTGGTGGCATGCACCTGTAGACCCAGCTACTCTGGAGGCTGAGGCAGGAGGATCGCTGGAGCCCAGGAGTTCGAGGCTGCAGTCAGCTATGATGACACCACTACACTCCAGCCTGGGTGACAGAGTGAGAACCTGTCTCAAAAAAAAAGAAAAGAAAAGAAAAGAAAAATGGACAGGCTCCTGATGTAACTTGGTACCTTTCTCATAACCCTTTAACTTCTGTGGTCATTTTGCCTCTTATGTGGCTTTGGAACTTCAAAGAGAATATGCTGCTTTCCTGCCACTGAGGGTGATGGTGACTCTGCCCTCAGTGCTCCTGCCCAGCCCTGCAGGGAGGGCCGAGGGGATGGTTGGCCAGGGCGTCTCTGTTCTGGAAGCATCCTGCACCGAGGCTTCCCTGTCCCGGGGAGCTGTCTTTCTCCTTCCTGCCCCCACCCCACGCCGCCGCCTCTGCCGGCCCTGCAGCATTCGGGGGAACCTTCTTGAAGCAGGGTACTTCTCCTAGCCTCGTTTCGGTATCAGATTCATGTGGGACTTGGATTTCATCGTGGGTCTGTGACTTGCTTTCAGAATGAGCGCGTATGCCTGACACAGAGCTCTCAAAATACAGCCGATTCCTGAACTAAACCAATTCCCGGAGACACTGACCGTGTCATTCCTGTTTACATCCTGCTTTGCTCCCAAGGAGACTGACCTAGGACGGGGGCGCTTGTGTCCTAATCCTGGGGACAGAAACCACGCGGGCCTCATGCAGTGCCGCCATCTGCACCACAGGCCCAGCCCTGGGACAGTCGGACGTGACTCACTGGCAACCCCGCGCCGCCTGCCTGGTCCCGGGCACCGCACACATGCACGTTTGTTCGCTGCTAACGACGCTGGCATGACACCCCGCAGGCACTGTCGTCATTCGCACTGTGCAGAGAACATGGCATGTTGAAGCGAAATAACTCGCCCGAGCCGGGGCAGAGCCGGGACTTGGACCAGCCCGTTGCAGCAGAGTCCAAGCCCTTAACCGCCCCCCTGTGCCGCCTCTCGCAGGAGCCACACGTAGCTTTTGTGTATCCCCTTGACCGATTTAAGCTGCTTTGTAGGGAACAGGCTGGTGCGGGGAGCTTGGAGAAGGGGCCCTGGGACTCGGGCCTAATCCTGGCTCTGCGGCCCCGGGGGAGAGTTCTAGAAACGTGAGCCCAGCTCTGCCCTTAGAGGGCCCTGCCTGAGCTCTGTGCTGCGGAGGCCCCTTGGACCCCTGCCAGGCCGTGCTCCCTCCCCACTGAACCAGGAGTCCTCAGGGCCTAGGGGCTGTGCCTGCCCAAAGCCCAGGTTCCCCCTCCTAGATCCCGGTGGGGGAACATGGGACCCTGGAAGTCCCTGCCCAGGCAACCGTAAGCCACCCGTGTGTGCAAGGGCTGGCCAGAGGCACCGACTGCTCATGCCAGGTGTGCATGGGCACAGACAGGTGGGCTGCTGTTCCACGCTGGTGCCCGAGACCCCTCTGGGTGCAGGAAGGGGCAGGGTGCTGGCTGGATCCCGAGCTCCCGCCTCACACCATTCTAGGGCCGGCCTCCCAGGAGCCCGGGCGACACCTGCCCGTCAGATTTTCCAGGGACACTGTCTTCTTGCTTTGTCACTTTTGCCCATGCTGGCGTTGCCGGGAGCCGTGGCCTGACCTCAGTGCCTCCCTCTTGTCATTCCCCAGCTGGGGGGTTCCACTGGCCATCACCGTGGCAGCTGTCGCTCTGAAGAAGATCGGGTACGACGCCTCGGACGTGTCTGTGGGCTGGTGCTGGATCGACCTGGAGGCCGAGGACCGCATCCTGTGGATGCTGCTGGCGGGGAAGCTGTGGGAGATGCTGGCCTACGTCACCCTGCCGCTGCTGTACCTCCTGGTCAGGAAGCACATCAACAGAGCGGTAGGTGCCCCCGCCCGCTGCCCCCGGAGCCCGGCGCTCTCCGCGAGGCCCTGTGCCCGGGTGCGGGGCCCACCCAGCCCCGAGTCCTGGCACTGAGGTCGGCCACCTTAGGGGACGACAGTCTGCATTGCTGGGGACAGAACCAGTGACAGGCCAGAGGGACCAAGCACTTGCTCTGTGCCAGGCACCGGGCAGGAGGCCGTATCACAGGGTCGGGAGCCCGGGCCTGTTCCTCTTCCCTGGACGGACTTGAGGGCCGGCTTGCTGGACCAGGGCTCCTGCCACCCGAGCGCCGTGTTCCCGGCCACAGCTCTCTCCTGCCCCCTGGTGGAGCGGCCGTGGCGGCGGCTTAAACTCGAGGAGTTTGGCTAAAAGGTGAGGATGTAGCCAAGTGAGAGCTGGGCTGGGACGCCCCTGGCAAGGGAGGACGTGGAATTTCATAATCAGTGCTACAAATAACGCTCCTAATTAGCCTTAGGGATTACAATTTTTTCATGAATGGTAAGATTTTTAGGCATTCGGTGGGGTGGGGTGGCTCACGCCTGTAATCCTAGCACTCTGGGAGGCCGAGGCAGGTGGATCGCTCAAGGTCAGGAGTTCAAGACCAGCCTGGGCAAGAGCGAGACCCCGTCTCTACTGAAAATAGAAACAAATTAACTGGACAACTAAAAATATGTAGAAAAAATTAGCCGGGCATGGTGGTGCATGCCTGTAGTTCCAGCTACTCAGGAGGCTGAGGCAGGAGGATCGCTTGAACCCAGGAGTTTGAGGTTGCTGTGAGCTAGGCTGATGCCACGGCACTCTAGCCCAGGCAACAGAGAGACTCTGTCTCAAAAAAAAAGGATTTTTAGGAATTCATAATAGGCTGGGCTGCATACCTTGGCCACACTGGTCCTTGTTCCTGATGAACAGTTCTGCACACTGAAGTAGGGCCCCACCATGGCCACAGCAAACTGCCACAAAAAGGCCTCAGATCAACCTGTCCATTGAGCCACTTGGCCACTCACCCATTTTATTGAGCACGTACTAGCACGCAAGCACTGTACAGCCTAGATTCTCCCCTCCTAGGGAGAGGCAGACGTTTCCCGTCAAAAATGACATGTGACAAGGGGCTGGAGCAGTGGGAGGCTCAGAGATGCTCTGAATTTCCGGGACTTCCAGGCTCAGGCTGCAGGGTGCTCGTGATTCCGTGTCTCCTTGGCTGCCGACTTTTCAAGGCTGACACTGTAGGAGGGTCGTACTGGTCTTTTGGACCATCCTGTTGACTACGAGGCCATTTCTGAGTTAGGATGCTCCTAACCTCCGGGACACCTAATCCCTGCCCAACTCCATCTGTGTCTTCTCAACGCTTCTGGTCTTCCTTTCACTTGGAAGTCACTGGTTGTCACCCTGCCCTGGAGCGCTCTGCTGGCTCAGCCGAGTCCTAGCTGGAGATGGCCTCAGGACTTCCAAGTGGCTCTGGAATCCTCTTTTGTCTCCTTACGGCCTTGTAGTTGGTCTCCTGCCTGGGCTGCGAATGCCCTTCTCACCTCTTCCTCTTTCCCACTGCACTCAGAAGGTTCCAGGAGCTCTGCCAGGCCCTCCCTCTGGAAGTGCCCTTTTGTGTGCCTTTCTTCCTGCCCTTCCTGTGGTGGGTCAGGGAGCCCGAGGGGCTGTGAGCGACTACAAGGCTGACCCCTGTGTGTGACAATGGGTCCTCTCTTACAGTTGGGCAAGGGCTTCCAGGAAGAGGAATAACCGAGGGAGGGAGGTGGGAATGTGCGAGTTGTTCCCTGCCTCTAGCTAGGAGGGGGAGCCAGGAGCAAGCTGCTCCCGAGAGGAACCAGCAGTGGCCGAGCTAGCACCCGCCTCCCATCCACCCCGCCCCCCATCCACCCTGCCCATTACCCCCCCCCCATCCACCTGCCCCTATCACCCTGCCCCCATCCACCCCGCCCCCCATCCACCACACCCATGGGCCCCGCTGGTTCTGGAGGGCTGGGCTGGGGCGCCAGCTCTCCGGGCTGCTGCTAAAGGCCCCGAGAGGAGGAGGCGGCGGGTGCTCTGAGCAGGCGAGTTGCAGAAGCTTGAGTGCTCAGAGATGTCAAGGTGGGTGACTCCACAGGACACCAGGGGCCAGCTGAACACTTCAGGCTCCTCTCCTCATCTGGGTCTCCAGGGTCCCAGACACAGGACCAGCCAAGCTCAAAAACACACCTTGTGAGTCGTTTCATCTATTTTTTTTTTTTTTTTTGAGACAGAGTCTCACTCTGTTGCCCCGGCTAGATTGCCGTGGCGTCAGCCTAGCTCACAGCAACCTCAACCTCCTGGGCTCAAACAATCCTTCTGCCTCAGCCTCCCAAGTAGCTGGGACTAGGCATGCACCACCATGCCCAGCTAATTATATATATATATATATATTTTTTTTTTTTTAGTTCGGCTAATTAATTTCTTTCTATATTTTAGTAGAGAGGGGGATCTCGCTCTTGCTCAGGCTAGTCTCCAACTCCTGAGCTCCAATGATCCACCTGCCTCGGCCTCCCAGAGTGCTAGGATTATAGACACGAGCCACCACGCCCAACCACTTACAGTCTTCAAACTTCATTACTGCACTTGAACTGCACAATTTGACAAAGCATTCAGGAAACAATCTGGAGACTAGTTTTAATAGACAAATAACACCTTTAAGCAGACATGACCGTCCTAAGTTGTTTATTAGGTATGAATTTTACAAACACTACTTAGTGGTAACGGAGCTGGAGGGTCCTGCGCCTTCTCCAGGCTGCACGGCCAGAACCACCCATCGTGTGGTGGCACTTACGGCCCTTGCCAAGGCCACAGCTTTTGTGGCCTGCAGATGTCAGCCCTCACGTGTCCCGTGCTTGTGGACCAGTTTGGTGACCCACTGTGTGTCAGGATTTCTTCTGATAGCTTTATGGAGTGGATCAATGAGGATAACCTCACAAAATTTGCACGTGGAATCTTCACCAACCCAGTAAGAATTCAGGACTCTTAGAGCCCCACAGTGGCGTCCAGCTTGCTCCTTGTCAACAGGCTGAAGGCTTCCAGCAAACGGTTAACACCGCGATGGACAGGCTTGCCACAGGTTGCACCCTAGGAACTGGGCGTTTGCAGCCACCACAGTGCACACAAATCCTACATGTGACATAACCTTGTATCCCGTCTGCATGCTTTACCTGAGAGCTGGTGGTAGTGCCAGCAGTGGACCTTAGAAGAAAGCGCACTGCATGAGACCGCCATAGCTCCGGGGGTGCTGTATGCACCCCTCTGGCTTACCCGATGGCTGCCAGACGCAAAAGCACCCGTGCAGTTTAAATAGGGCTGTCAGGCCTCATCCAGAAGGTGACACTTGAGCAAAGACTTGAAGAGGGTGAGGAAATGAGCCACATAGACTAATAGAGAAGAATATTCCAGAGAAAGGGAACAGCTAGTGCAAAGGCCCTGGGGTGGGCTGTGCGTGCACGATTGGGGAATAACAGGGTCCCGTGTGGCTGGAATAGCAGGAACATGGGGCAGAGCAGTGGGCATGAGGTCAGACTGGACCAGGCTCAGCCCTGCTGGGACGTCGCGAGGACCATGTGAAACGGGAACCGCTCAAGAGCTTTGCGCCAAGGCCTCCCTTGGGCTGACTCGGGTTTGCAGCTCTCCTGCGCATCTGCGCCAAGAGTGGCCTGGCTGGGGAGCGGGGTGGGGGGAGGGCGGTGGAGGCAGCCCCAGCAGGAAGCAGGTGCCGCTACCCAGAGAGGCCGTGCCGGGGCCTGGACCAGGCTGGGCAGAAGCGTCCAGGGTTTGGACTGTTTGACGGCAGGGCCCACGGGACTTGCGTGGTGGGGATTGGATGTGGGATGTGGGAACACGGAGGGTCAAAGCTGCCCCCAGGTGTTTGGCCTGGGCATCTGGAAGGACGGAGTGTCCGTTAGCTGAGACGGGAAGTGCTCGGGGCTCAAGGTCACCTGAGCCATCTAAGACGGCCCGGAGACATCCACGTGGGGATGGAGTCGGCGGGGAGCCTCCCCCTACCCTCCCGAGCTGGGGTCGGCCTGGGGAGACCGGGCAGCCTGGGCAGACGTGGCAGGAGGGTGCCCTTCCGCTCACGCTGCCCGGCCGTCCCGCACAGCACGAGGCGCTCTCGGAGTACCGGCCCATCCTCTCGGAGGCGCACCGCCTGCCCCGCCGCTGCGCCGCGGCCGATAAGAAGCTGGTCCTCATCCCGCTCATCTTCATCTGCCTCCGGGTCTGGAGCACCGTGCGCTTCGTGCTGACCCTCTGCGGCTCCCCAGCGGTGCGGGCTCCCGTGCTGGTCATTCTGCACGTAGGTCTGCCCTCCCGGCCCTGGCTGCCCCTCGGGGAGGCACGGCCACACCCCTTCCCCCAGCAGAGGCTCACTGCCTTCCCCCCTGCTCAGATGGGGCCTTGGAAAGAGAAGGTGGCGGGATCAGGGTGGCCTGGTGGGCGGCGAGCTGCTCTCCAGCAGCCTGGGGGTGTCCGAGGGAGAGCTGGCTGATCCCGGGTCCTGCCCAACCCGGGAGACCTGGAGCAGGGGTGCCGGCTCAGGCTGGCCTGGAGCTCCGCCGAAGGCCCCCACGGCCAAGGTCGTCCCAGACCAGCCCGGGGAGGAGGGTGAGTGGAAAAGGTTCTGGCTCTGCAGCACCTCCCAGCCTCCTCCCTGTGTGTCTAAGACCGACTCCAGCCTGGGCGCTCACACCTCCTCTTCCTCCGACAGGGCATCGGGAACACGTTCCAGGGCGGTGCCAACTGCATCATGTTTGTCCTCTGCACCCGCGCCGTGCGCACCCGGCTCTTCTCCCTCTGCTGCTGCTGCTGCTCTTCCCAGCCTCCCGCAGACAGCCCGGCGGGCCCTTCCGAGGCTCCTGCGCCCTCCAGGATGGGAGAGTCGCAGGAATCCACACGGACCCCAGAGGGACTTCCAAGCACCTGAGCTGCTGCCCTTCCTGGTTCTGTGCACAGGTGCTGCCCTCCTGCGGACAGGGTCCCCCTCGTCCCTGGCGTGGGGAGGGGGAGGGCGTGTCTGCTGTCCTGGAAGCCCCTGCTGGCGACTCAGCAGCTGCCAGCTCAGCTTCTTCTACCTCCTAGACCCTCGGGCGTCGAGTTCCAGTCGCGCCGTGTCCTGGCGCACTGGGGGTTGTTCGTCTGCAGGAGGGTGGCAGTGAGAGGGAAACCAGCAGTCCATGGTCACCGCCAGGGTGCCTCTCGTCCCGCTGCCCTCGCTGTCCTGAGGACCTCACAGCACTGTTTACAATTTGAGGGACCCACATCTGTGCACCCGTCTGTGTATGATTAAATAAAATGTCAGCGATGTGTCCCCCACCCAGACATCATGGAGCAGATTCCCGGTTTGCCAGGGGGGTTGAGATTCCCCGGAGAGCCCGGCTTTTCTTGGGCAGCTGGCTGGTCAACAGAGAAGCCAGTTACCTTTAAGCAGGTTGAAGGCTCCCCTGAGGTTGTGTGGTGACCACCACGCATGGGCACAGCCTAGCACAACTGCTCAGGGACAGCCACTCTCCTTGAGGGGTCCTGGATTCTGTGGGTCGCCAACACTCCGTGCAGATCGCATGTGAGTTTCAACACAGCCGGAATCCAGACCCCTGCCTCTACTGCCAGCCTCTTAACACACAGGTCCCTCCTTTCCCTGCAAGGGCTAGAACGAGAGGCATCTCAGGGACCCCCCCCAGGACACCCCACTTCTCTCCAGGTCCTTCTTTATAGTCCTCCTGTTCCTAGGGAGACTGAAATTGGGGTGAGATGGGAGGGGATCTGGCTTGTTCACTTCCTAGCTCAGTTTTTTGTGGGAAAGGTGACCAGAGATACAGTGAATGATCCAGATACCAATGCCTCCCTGAAGGTGACGGTTCAAGATTCCGCTGTTTGGCATTCGGTTGAGGGAAGTAGCAACATGGATTATGTACCTTTATTTTTTTAATTTTATTTTGGATTATGTACATTTAAAAGGGAAAGGATTCAAAATAAGCAACTGCATCTCGATTTATTAATATATCCTCTGATCTTCCACCAACACTTTCCTCTGTGTTCATAAAGCAATTTCTCCATTAAGCCACAGAAGCCGTGGGCTACGAATGGCAAGTGTCAGTCTTCCCTTGGGGGGCCCAGAGCACTTGCTGCCTGCAGGAAGCCCAGTCCCAGGCGAGGCGTGGCCTGGCTCGGAGTGGCCATGGTCAGGAGGCGCCTGCAGAGGGAGGCAGAGGCTCAGGAAACACCTGCTTGGCTGCCCTGGGCACTCACGTCCTCATTCTGGTTGTTTGATGCCACTGGCTGCACTGTCTGCTTTGGTGAAAACCTCCAAAAAGTCACGCCTTGGGTATTGTCACCTCAGCCTCCTCCGCCACCCACCCCGGCACTGCAGACGAATGGTTGCTGTGAATGGGGTGACTGCGGGCAGGGGAGGGGCTCCTCCGGGTGCCTTAGCCTGGGCCTCTGCCTGGCCAACCCCGAAACAGCGGCATCGCCTCTTTCTTGCCCCCGGTGGGGAGCTAGTCTAGCCGGGTGGGGACCCGGCGCTCAGAGCTAAAGCGTGGGTGGGAAGGAAGGCGCACCCTAAAAGTCCAAGAGGGGCTGTGGCTTCTGATCCAGGCGTTGCACTGCAGCGCTCCTTCTACACTCCGCCCAGCCCTAGCGGGTTCCATTCTCCACTGTGGGTGTCATTAATGTTTATCTGCCCGTATCCCTCAGCGACCCAAGTGTCACCCGCTGCAGCCGTAACAGTGTCCTCAGCCCGGCGTCCCTCTGTCTTCACGCACTTTCTGAACCTTGTTCTTTCCGTCACGTTCACCAGCCACTTTCCGCCTCTTTGTGTTTCTCAGAGCTTTCTGGGCTTGTTTGTTCAGTTTTGGTTTTTTAGTAAAGATTATTATTTGGCCCAAGCTGAGGGTGCAAACAGAACTCTTCCTATGTCCACGGCAAGAAAAACCGTCTTTACAAACCTCCTGTCGTGGCGTAGTAGCAGTGTGCGTTTTCCGCACGTGCAAAATTGTAGTGAAAACCCGGACTGTATGGAAGGAAGCTGAAGTCTCGCCGTTTTAAATTAAATAAATTAATTATTTTTCTCCTGCGTGTTTGGTGCACTGATGGCCACTGACGTGGCTAGAGGGCTGGGCGGGCGGCTCACACGGGCCCGGGGTGCGGTGCTGGCTCCAGAGCCGTCCACGCGGCTGAGACCTGGAGAAGACGGCTCTGCCCTTCTCTGCTGGCAAAGGAAGCCAAGGAGGCGGCCGCCCAGTTGGCACGGCTTCTCCCAAGTGCGCCTGATGAAGATCGAGGGGTGAAGGATGGGGAGGGCACATTAGAACACAGATTCCTGGGCCCCGTCCACGCTCCAAGAAGGGAGGCCCTCCAGGGCCGAGCTGCCAACCCACGCCGGTCATGCATAGTTTTATCACGGCACGTGGTGACACAGGACACAGTGGGTCCCCAGATGCAGGGGTCCTGGTGGTCAGGGACTGCTGGGACACCAGGGCTCTTCTCTGCACGGAGCAGCCTTCCAGAGTCAGCCCCTGGCGTCGTCCGCCTGGCTTTGTGACGCGCAGGCCGTGCAGCTCCGCCTTCGGGCCACAGAGTCCCGTAACTGCTCCGTCTTGGGAACTTCGCTCCCCAAAGCTCCCAAACTTTGTTTCTTTGTTCCACTCTCTAGGTTGTGTGCAGTTTAAAGCTACATAACTAGGCCGGCCGGGGTGGCTCACACCTGTAATCCTAGCACTCTGGGAGGCCGAGGTAGAAGGATTGATGGAGGCTAGGAGTTCAAGACCAGCCTGAGCAAGAGTGAGACCCCTTCTCTACTAAAAATAGAAAATCTTAGCCAGGCGTGGTACATGCCTGTAGTCCCGGTTACTCGGGAGGCTGAGGCAGGAGGATCGCTTGAGCCCAGGAGTTGGAGGTTGCTGTGATCTATGATCTCACCACTGCACTCTAGCCTGGGTGACAGAGTGAGACCCTGTCTCAAAAACAAACAAATAAAACCTTCATAACTTAGCCTAGAGGGCCTCTTTTTTATACTAATTTTCTTATTAAGGTGCAACATGTACAAACTTAAGTAGTAACTGAAGTGCCTGGTCCTGCTGCATCGAGGTGACCACTTTGAGTTTTCTAGCTATTCCCTCCTGCACCTGTCTTTGTATCTCTAAACTCAATGCTTTGTGCTTATCTGGGAGAAAAAAAGAAGCCCCTCCCACCCATCTGCCATGCACCTCTCCTTTCCATCTGCCTCCCCTCGGTGACCCTTCACCACCTCCTCCCTGACCTGGTGCCTGTCCTCCTCTCCGGAGTCCTCACCACCCTCCTCGCCCCAGCGAGTGTGGCAGGCTGTTCCAGGCTGTTCCACACTGTTCCCTCTTGCCTAGCCTCCTGTTTCTGCCCTTCTGCAGCCGACACCCCACAGAGTCACCTTCTTCTGCTCCCAATGCCTTCTAAACGGATCTCTGGGATGCCAGTCTCCGTAGAGACTGTAAGTCCCAGGGACCACTCTACGGAATACGTTCCCCCAGAGCCTGCCCGGTCCCCAGCACAGAGTTTCTTTAGTTCCTCAGGCTAATTATTTCATTTTGTATAGAATGTGTTCTGCGTTCTGCTCAGTCGTCTCCAACTCTAGCTCAAACTATCTCCCCACACTCCTCCAGGTGCTACGGATTACAGTGTACCCTCCCTGGGCCTGGTGTTTTCTTTCCTTCCCTTCCTTTTTTTTTTTTTTATAGTAGCAATGCAAAGGATGAGATCGTACTCATTTTTGTTTTGATTTCATTTCCCTAATGGGATTATCGATTTGAACCACTGGGGTCTTTTCATATTCCTGGTTGCGCCATTGTATATCTTTGGACAATGTTTATTCAAGGTCCTTTCCCCATTAGACAATCTCTCCTTTGATCACAGAAAGACACTAGGCAGCCCAAACACAGTTTCGTATGTTGTCAGAAGGGCCATCCTATATATAACTAAAATGAGGTTAATTCAAAAAATCAAAGCTATTGGAACTTTTAAATTCATTTTGGGACCCACATAAAACGAGGGTGGTGATAATGGACCCTAGGGTCACTAACAGCAGGCTGGTAACCACCGTGGTTGATTACAGGATTTTCCTTACTAAATTGGCATTAAAACTTTACAAAGGCCCAGGAGAAACCCCTTCCCTCCCTTTCTTGTTGGATCTTCATTAAGACTTAACTGCCCTCTTTGCTGTCTTACACAAAGACCTCCGGGGACATCCACAATTGTCAAAGAGGTTTAATGGGTTAGGCACCATATTTTTACATTCCGAACAAGGAAAATAGCAATTACTGTTACTAATAGATTGGGCTGTAACTCATAAACCAACCTTGTACGGAAAACTGTTGGTAAATTCTGGCATTCTTTTTTTTTTTGTTTGGTTTTTCTGTCCTATCGGAAATAACCTTTAACTTTTCTCTTGGAAGTCATCGCTTGTTTCCTGAGCTCTTGTTTTCCAAGATGCTTCCTCCAAGGTTCTACACACTTGAATAGAATCTATTTAAACTGATCTGAGGCTTCAATTATTTATGTTCACATAACAATCTCACGTTATCTCACCACGCCACTGAACTAAGATACCAATCACGTTCAAGGACAAGCCTAGAAAGACGAGGACCCCATCGTCTACTAAATACCGAAATTAATTGCCAATTAAATAAGGAAATTAGGCCGGCATGTCACATGCCTGGTAGTCAGCTCTCAGAGACTGACGAGGATTGCTTAAGATTTTAGGGTTGCTGTAGCTAGGGCTGAACTGGCACTTACTCTAGGCTGGGCAACCAACATGAGACTCTGTCCTCAAAAAACAAAAAAAACACACAACAAAGAAAGAAATTACTGGACAAAAAATACATACAAAAAAATTTACCAGCATTGCTTGGCGATCTATCCCAGCACTAGACTGACAGCAATTGCTTACAGAATTAGTCTGTGACTGCTATGTAACTCAACAACAGACAAGAACTCTCCAAAAAAATAATTTAAAAAAAAAACTTTTACATCAAAGAATCTATAAAAATTAAAAACAGCTACAATGTGTGGAGCCCTTATACACTACTCATGGGAGGCTGGGACAAGATTCTAAAAGATTTAATTACTTGAATAAGACTCTGGTCTTTATAAAAAAGCAAAAAGAAAGAAATAGACGAAAAATTTTTGTCAAATCATATATCGATAGTGTCTAGTACGACGAAATATATAAAGAATTTTATCAGACATTCAGTACCTCAAGCACACCCCAGGTGAAGTCGATACCCATCTGGCACACCTTCAACACACCCAGCTGAACCGAACTAACATCCGGTTCTGTAACTGTTCTCTGTTGCCATGGGAAACTGGTTCTTGCTTCTCTGATTCGGCCAACCCCTTTGCATTGGTTCGACCCCTGTATAGGTGGGCTCGGCCAACCCAATCATGTTAAAGGGGGTCAATGCATGGATCCACGCGGGGTGATCAGCCACCATAAGCGTATCCCAAGGGGATCAAAGACACGCGGCAACCCCAGTCGCGGTCTTGCTCGGGCAAGAGTGACACTGGGCGTTGGTGCTCTGGGCTTGGACCCTGGCTAGCCAGAAAATAAACCTCCTCTGTGGTAATTACATCCCGAATGTCTCCTTTTCTGTCGGTGGGCTGTGGAAGGTCGTCCGTAACCACTTTTATAACTCAACAAGAAATATGATAACCCAAGTTCAAATAGCCAAAGCACTGGAATAGATATACAAAGAAATAGATAATACAAAGAAGATATAACCAATGGCCAACAACACTTGAAAAGATAGCTCCAAATCCCTTACTCACGCAGGGATGCAAATAAAAGCCAGAGGGAGGTATCACTTCACACCTACTGCATGGCTATAATTTTAAAAAACAGCCTTTGGTGTGTGGTACAGCTTGGTATCCCAGCACTGCTGGAAGGTTGAGGCAGAGACCGCTGAAGGCCAGGATCCTCAAGACAAGCCTGAGCAAGAGTGAGTACC